TTCAGACATTACAATGATTTCAATATTATTGCCTTCTGTATTAAATGATGTAGACATTGATATAATTTAAATACAGATAAAGTTTATGAATGGAAAGATGTAACTTGTCTGAGTCACAGAATTTTTATTTAACATTGGGATCTATTTTTTCAAATGTATTATTATGGAGTAAAAATATGTAAAGTATATTTCCCCCTGGATATTCTTGTAGTCACTGTTTTAAAGATAAAGCATTCTACTTGAAGAATAAGAGCTGTATGAATATGGATATTGAGAAAAAAGAACTTAAACATTCTACCAGAGGTAGTTTTGACTATGTATCTATTTATTTATCTATTCTCTTAAAATATAAGGGAAAAATTCAGAACAAACTATCAGAATCAACATAAAATGAAAATGAATAGAATCAGAATAATAAATTTCAATATGCTAGAAAAATTACAAAAACTCAAACATTTTAATGACAATATTGTGATCAGGTACTAGCTATGAGTAGTCTATGACTCGATGACACTTAACAACAACAATACAGAGAGAGCTCTGTTAGCCTAATAGAAAGTTATGCTAACAAGCCAAAGGTAGGTGATTTTAATCTGTGGCCCTCACATCTGGTTTTAGTTGTTTTTTTGTCAAACATTCTTCTAAGTAGCATAGCACTGGTCTGTCCATTTGCTGTAGAGAGGTAACTTGTGTTTGCTGGGATGCTAAATACTGTGACCCTGATGTGTGAAATGCAATAATGGTTATCCATAGTGGAAAGTGTTTGGTGGAGCTCCCTGATTACAACATGCTTGGAAGTGGGAATGGCATCCGCTTCCGAAATAGCTTGCTTCTGGAAACTCTATGAACTTGGAGAAATGATGAAAGTTACACAAATGTTCAAGTCTTTCGTATATAGGGTCCTTATGAGTCATCTACGAATTGAAGACATTTAACAATAACAACAAAACAAACATCTTTTTACAGGCAATTCGATGGCACAGCTGGTGGCATAGCATGTACTGCGCTGCTAATCAAAGAGTCAGTTGTTCAAGTCCATCAGGCTCTCCACAGGTGAAAGATGAACAGTGTGTTTCACAAAGAGACTTTAAAATTGGATAGAGGGTAACTATGACTCACAATTAACTCAATTGGCAGTGGGTTTTGTTTTAAAAATGCATCTTTGACTTGTTTTTTTTTAATATTGCTTGCCACACTCAAACTGTTGACTTTTTGTCACTCCTTCCATGGAAAACTTAATTCATTTACTAGATATTGAGTAACTGCCCTACTCTTTTCCACGTAGTGGGGATATAACAAATTGCAGGTTTGTCAGACAAAAGCATATGCCTTCAAGAAGCCTATGTTTTTAGTTATAGAGATAGTAATAATAGGTTGTTAAGTAGGCAAAATAAGTTACATGCTAAACAGAACTTTTCTCAATATTCATCTCTGTATTTCTATTTCCCACTAAACAAATATATTGTCATTCATTTGATTCTGATTCTCAAGTTACCAAGACTATACATCTTTATGAGAGAAGACTGTGCGTCTTTCTTCTTTGGATCTGACAAACTTGAACTGCTGACTTTTAGGTTAACTGCTTGATGCACTATCCTGCCCATTATGCCAGCAAGACTCTTAGGACAATGTATAAAAATTTGCAGTGTTGTGCATTATGTGTTGAACTGCTAACTGAATGCTTAGTGCCTGAATTCACCAAACAATCCATGGGAGAAAGATGAGGCATGCTCCTCCCATTGGAAGGTTGCCATGGTTTGGAATTGACTCAACAACAATGGTTTTGGTTTTTTTGTAGCCCAGTACATGGTACAGTAGGTACACAAAAGTTATACACTGATGGTTTAATTTAGTTTTATGAATACCAAAAAGAAGAGGAGCATAAGTCTTTATTTTTCCATTAATTTTAACTGTAGACAGCAACTGGAGTCCAGATTGTGGTGAAAAATTACAGATAAAGAGTAGGCAACAGTGGAATGACTTCCAGATTAAATCTTGCTCTTGAACTTTCCTTCATTCTGTGGCTTTAACAGATGATATAATTGTCTCAGATGGCTCAAATGAATATTGTACTATCTGTATTTCTCTTTTCAACCAGAAACTGAATGTAAACTCTCCTCACATACACTTTTTTATTTGGCTTTTCTGATCTTTATTTCTAAGTATCTTTTCAGACTTAGAGATATTAGACTCTTCTTCAATTTTTCCACAGGACAAGCAAACCTTTGGCCCTAGACCACTTCTCCTTTGATTCTAATCTTTAACAAAGATGAAACACTGTCCTTTGGCAAGGTTAAAATGAAGGTATTTTAGAAAAATAACACGATATCTATGTCCTGAGTTGCTCTTTGAAACTAGGTGAAGGGTTGTGTGTGTGAGCAGAGTGGACCAGCTAGACAAAAATGCTCCCAAGCCTAGTAGTGAGTGAGAGGTTGGCTGAATCCGTGGGAATTAGTTTAAAGTCTATTTTTCTAGTTTGTAATGCAGACATTTCTCATCCTTATCTCAGTTCCCACCCTGCCACTATTTTTCTTTTTTCTTTAAAACAATTTTGTTGCATCTTCATTACAATTTTACTTTTAACTTAGTAAGAACAAAGTACAATTGCTCCATTTTGTTGTTGTTATGTGCTATCAAGTTACTTGCAACTCATACTGATTCTAAGCACAACAACAATGAATGAATGGAATTCCAAAATCTCTGAAGATGTTCATTGAAGTTAATAATAATAATAATGATAATAATAATAGTAATAATAAATAATAGAAACAAAAACAAAAACAAAAAACAGACAACAGCTCTGAACCGTGCTCTATCTTAAGGCAACCTCATTGTCTCTGACACACCTACCCCCATTATCCTAGTAACTGAGGCAATCCACCATCTCATCCAGGGTCTTTCCCTCCTGGTCTGTCCCTCCACCCTTCCAAGCATGTTGTCCCTCCCCAGGGACTCGTCCCTTTTTGCAACATGCCTAAAGTGTACCAGATGAAGCTTCAGAATCCTTGCCTCCAAGGAGCAACCTAGTTTCACCCTCTCCAGGACGAACACGCTTTTTCTTCTGGTCTTTCATGGTATATCCTATACTCTTCTCTAGCACCACAGCTCAAATGTAGCAATTCTTCTATCATCCTGAGTCATTGTAGGATAGGATGGTTTTGTTTTTGTAGTTATGAGCCATCAAGTCATTTGTGACTCACTGTGACCCTAAGTACAACAACTCTGAACCCTGCTCTATCCTGAGCCAACTTTATTGTCTCTGACACATCTACTCCTATTATCCCAGTCAGTCCATCTCATTGAGGGTCTTCCTCTATTGTGCTGTCCCTCTACCCTCTCAAGCATGATGTCTCTCTTAAAGGACTGGTCTCTCCTTGCAACATGCTCAAAGTATGTCAGATGATGCTCAATAATCCTTTGCCTGGTTTTACCCTTTCTAGTACAAAATTCTTTGTTCTTCTGGCAAAACATGGTATATTCAATACTCTTCTTCAACACCACAGCTCAAGGACATTGATACTCCTCCCATCATCTCTAATCTTTGTCCAGATTTTTGATGCATAGAAAGTAATTGCAAAGACCATGGCCTGGATCAGGCGCACCTTAGTCTCCAGACTGATACCATTGTTCTTCAGTACTCTGGAGAGGTCCTTGACAGCAGACTTCCCAATACAATTTGTCTTTTTTTCCCTGCCTGTTAGTTCCAAGAGTGTTGATTGTTGAGTGAAGCAAACTGAAACTGTTAACAATCTCAATTTCTTCACTATCATCATGACGCAGCTAAACATTACAGTGGTGAGACCCTTTGTTTTCTTGATGTTGAGCTTCAATCCATGTTTAGGGTTGCAGTGCTTAACCTTCTGCATCAAGCCTTTCAGGTCTTCCTCCGTTTCAGCAAGCAAACTTGTGTCGTCTATATAATGCAGGTTGTTTATGAGTCTTCCTCTAATCCTAGTGCCACATTCCTCCTAATAGAATACAGCCTCCCAGATGACCTGTTTTGCATATAGATTGAAAAAAGTATGCATAAAAGACACATTTTGTTGTACAGCCTTACAAATTTTGAACCATGCAATTTACTTTCTCTGTCCAGATGACTGCCTCCTGATTTAAGTATAGATTTTGCACAAGCACAATCAAGTGTTCTGGGATTTCCATTCTTCTGAGAGTCAGCCACAGTTTAGGCTATCGTAATTTTTAGAAGCAGATCACCAGATCTTTTCACTAATGGGTGCATTGGAACTGCCAATGGTTTGCTATCAGCCAAATGTTGAATCATCTTACCTTTAGAGCTCCTGTTTGTTGTTGTTGTTAAGTGCCATCGAGTCGCAGGCAACTCATAGCGACCCTATGAAGGAGAGTCCTTGATGCTTTGGTGCCTTTCATCCTCTCTCCAGGTTCATAGGGTTTCTGGAGGAAAGCTATTATGGAAGTGGATGCTACTCCTCCATCCACTTAGAGCTCCTAGAGATGTAGATAAAAGTAGAAAGGGAGAAGGAGCAGGTGGTAGAGGGGCTGAGGGTGGGGAGGGACGGAAAGCACAGGTTCAGGCTTGCAGACATTGGGAGGCAGAGGGAAGGCCTGAAGGAATTAAGATAGAGCTAGTTGATACCTGAAGAGATGCGGTGACAGTGAGCATAGTTTAGTGATGATTACGTTTATAAAACAATCTATGGGAGTGCTCATATGAAACACAATGTGAATGAAGGAATGTGTGAAACACATTGTATGTGAATGAAACACAATAGATACAGATTTTGTATGCAAATCAATTTAAAGGTTTTAAGAAAGTTTTAAAAATATGAAATAAGACAGAAACTATAGCACTCTAGATAAAGATGGTGATTGCATGGAATTAATTGTTAGTGCAGTAGATGTCACCAGATTGTTCACTTTAAAATGGTTAAATGTACATTGTGTGAAATTCACCTCAAAATTAAAACCATGAGATCAAAAGTATTTCTGTATCAACTGATTGTCCCATTTTGTTTGTTTTCCAGGTGACTATGGCCAACATTGGGATAAATGGAAATAATTCTTTGGAGACCTGTGAAACAATAATTTTTGCCCTCCGAATGGCAACGTGGAATCAAATCTTAGATCCTTGGGTGTATATTCTTCTGCGGAAGGCTGTCCTTAAGAATCTCTACAAGATTGCTAGGCGCTGCTGTGGGGTGCACGTCATCAGCTTACATATTTGGGAGCTTAGCTCCATTAAAAGTTCTCTGAAGGTGGCCGCGATTTCCGAGTCACCACTTGCAGAGAAAATAAACCATGAGACACCTAGTTTAGCAGAACAGCGATTGAGTGCAAATTTACCACAAAATTAAGAAAAATACTAGTAGTGCTTCAGTTAATTGAGTACATACACCCACTCAGTATTTATCAACATGGCTAGGTTTTAAAGGCCAGACTGATAGGTGAAAACTGTGGTTATGTGAAAATAGAGAGGACCAGGTCAGATCACATAGCCAAAGGTGAATACATTAATATGTAAATACTAGATTTCATCATTATGTAACAGCTAAAGTACTCATGGCCCAGCCAAACTGAGACATAACTTTAACCCAGTGTTATTCTTATCCCATTCCTTGGTTTTTATTATTGTCTGAAACACATTACTAATGCACAGAATAACCAGAGTAGATATTTACTGTGACTGTAAGTGAAAAATACTGGAAAAATGAGAAGTATTTGTATATATAAATATATCCTAACTGGAAAATTCACACCTCAGCATGTAGGTTGGGGGTATTTTTGCTAGACTTGGCTGATGAAATTTGTTAACTGGATAAATCCACATTTCCAATTGCTTTTTGTCAACTGGACTTAAACATGGCATGATACCATGAGTTACTTTGTAAATATTTTTCTCTGTTATATATGAACTTGTTTGTGCTTTTGTAATGAATGAATTGGGGCATAAACAGCTTAATGAAATTTGTCCATTGAAAGAGCCTCTTTGTAGTCACTGCTTTGCATTCATTTCTCATTGATCAGGTACAACAGAACATTTTATCTGGCCTGTTTGACCTCTCACTGTATAGCTTTAATCGATACATGGCCACATACATGGGATTCACGATGGCTTAACTTTGCAAACCTTTTTAAGACTGAGTTAGTCCTCATCATATTTGACAGTTATAACCACCTGCATTTATTATTGTGTAGGTAAATTGTTGCTCTGGGTATCTACATAGTTAAGTGTTCAGTCACTAGTTGAAAAGTGAGTGGTTTCTACTCACCCGGAGGCATCTCAGAAGAAAGGCCTGGCAGTACACTTCTGAAATGTCATAGTCTTGAAAATCATACCAAGCAGTTCTACTCTGTGTACATGGATGGTGTCACCATGAGCTTGAATAGGTGTGACAGTCCAACTATAACAATACGTTGCTGTTTGAAGGAGGGGGTTATTTTGTCTTTTTTTTTTTTTAATAATATATTTTCGCAGCTTTCAAATAAATCTTCCCTAAGCCCTGAAAAGTCTAATGCATTAATGAACATTAAGTATTTTTAGAGATATGAATGATCTATAATAGCACATGCATTTAATCCTTTATCTCTCTCTTTCTCCCTCTCTCTCATTGTTGTCCTGTTGGAACTGGCAGATAGCTGATCCTACAGCAGGTTTTTGGAGGCTGTAAATTTTGGGACAAGATTGACCATCTTTCTCAGGCAGAGATGTCAGTGGATATAGACAGGCACTTCCATTGGGTTAACAGGATAGCTTTATGGATGAGGTTACCAGAACGTCCTTCATTAATATTATGGTAGCTCTTAAAGTTTTATCATTTATAACTGATATGCAAACAAACAGAAATTAAACTAGAGATATTGGTGCAAAAAAGAATGGGAAAAGTGTTTCACTTTGAGTATCACTTCTGTGTCAGAGAACAAAAGGCATAATCTATATACTATTAAAGATTGTTTATAGCTAGTGTGGTTTTTTTCTGCTTTTTGCACACCCACAGATACACACACACACATACACAGATATCAGGGACTGCTGTTGAAAGCAGATTCCTTAGATTAGCAGAGAGACATTTTCTAAAATCTGGGTTACTAGAATCAGAGGAAAGAGTAGCCATAAGTCAAATAATTCAGGATGATGATAAAAAGTCATCAGGTGACCACAGGATAAAATCACTTTACATTTCCCATAAAGAATGAAAACTTTTTCACTTATTTGTTTATATAATCTTGGTTCCTATTAAAAATGTTCTACATTTAGTAGTACACAGGTTTCATAATTCTACTTTAAAATCAAGAGATGTGTGAATTCTTTGGTTTTTTTATTGGTTTGAGTCCGTATGAAAATTACTCTTCTGATGAACCTAGTTTGTCTAAGAAATATGTCCTCAAATTTCTGCTAGTGACTGCTAATTTGCATTGGTAATTACTACATTTTGTGATTTTTGGTAAATTTTCATGAATGAAGAAAAAAACCAAAAACCTGAGCAAATATTCTCACTGATTTTAATGATAGTGACTTTGGCAGTGAATCCAAAGTGGTATATACACACACATACGTAGAGACATTAGATAGTCTTAAAACCAATAAATAATTAGTCACAAATTTAGATTCATCTCATATATAGAGCATGTGTTGTTATTGTTTTTAATGTGTCATCAAGTTGCCTGCAATTCAAACAGACACTAGGTACAAAAACAACTCTGAGGCCTGCCCTATCCTGAGTCAGTCTCACTGACTCTGACAAACCTAACCTTATCGCACAAGTGATCGTGTCAATTGGATGGTATTGAGACAGGACACATCTCCGATGCACTCCTCTCGTAATTTTGAGAGAGTGTATTCCTCTCCTACACTGTCCCTCCATCTTTTAAAGCATGATGTCCTTCTCCAAGAACTGGTTCCTACTGGCCATATGCCCTAAGTATGTGAGATGATGCTTCAAAATCCTTGCCTCCAAGGAGAAACTTGTTTTCACACTCTCCAAGACAGACATTTTTGTTCTTCTGGCTGTCCATGGTATGTTCAATACTCTTCTCCAGAACTGTAACTCAAAGACATCAATTCTTTTGCCATCCTTAGGCATTGTCCAGCTCTGTCATATATAGTGAATAATTGCCAAGATTATGGCCTAGATCAGTTCACCTTAGTCTCTTCACTGATGCCACTGCTCATCAACACTCTGGAGAGGTTTTCTGACAGCAGACTTACCCATTGCAATTGGTCTTTTTATTTTCTGGTGGCTGGTGCTAAGAGTATTGACTCTGGAGCTGAGCAAGATGAAATGGCTAACAATCTCAATCTTTTCTCTATCCATCATGAAGCTGCCAGTTGGCGGTAAGGTGAGAATCTGTCTTCTTGATGTTTAGCTTCAATCTATATTGAAGAATACAGTCGTTGACCTTCTGCAGCAATGTTTCAGGTCCTTCTCAGTTTTGGCAAGCAAAGTTGTGTCATCTACATAGTGCAGGTTGTTGATGAATCTTCTTCAAATCATGATGCCACACTCTTCTTCATAAAGGCTGGCCTCTCAGATGCTCTGTTCTGCATATATAGATTGAAAAGTTATGGAGACAGAACACATCCCTGATGCACTTCTTTCCTTACTTTGAACCATGCAGTCTTTCTTTGCTCTGTTCTCAAAAACAAAAACAAAAAACCCCGAAAGCAAGAAGGCTTAAATAATACTTTCCAAATTTAATTTGCTTAAATAAACTATTACAATTTCAGTAACCAGAAGGAAATAAGCTGGAGAGAAATGAGGAAGGGGATATTCTTAACATCCTTATCAGACTTGACTCCAGAGAATATCTCCAGAGTATTTATTAAAAATAACAACAACAAAAAAACACCAAAAAAAACAAAACAAGGTATTGCAGTTGGTGATTGTTATCACATTACCTAAATGCTCTAATGCGTTGTAAAAGCCCTTATAGCCCAGAAGAACATTTGGTTGGCTCAGAAGACATGTTTCTCAAAGTTACTTAAGAGTGTTGGTATCCTGGGAGGTGGGGCACAAGAACCTAAAGCTCCGTCCTTTCTCTTCGTGTATGGTAGACTATTTCAGGGAACATCTCTATCTCTAGAAATTAGGGAGAGATATGGAGAAGAAACTCAAGCTGAGGTCATGGCCGTGCATATGTGTACATTGAGAAACTGTGTGTGATCATGTGTATGAAGGTATGAGTAGGAAGGTTTGGTGGGGAAACAGGAGAATGACTCTGTGTGTATCCCCAAAAGATTATCACCTTCCTTGAGAATAGGTTTAAGGCAACCAAATTTCTTTTACAATGATAATAAACTCAAGTGATAGAAATGAAAGAAAAATTAGAAAAAAAATCATATAGAAAGTATAATTGCAATGTTTTAAGGTTTTCTTCCAAGGAAACTAAATATATGAGCACAATAATGTGCTTGCCTGGATTAAGAATTCTTATGTCTGGGGTGGGGGTGGGGGGCGCTGGAATCACCAACTTTTCAGCTGAAAACTGAGTGCTTCACCATTTTACCTGGGAACCTTTCCCCTAAGAACACACAACTCGTTGGAGTTGAAAAAAGAACTTCATCTCTACCCACACAATAATCTTTTACACTTTCTAAAGTGGAGAAACAAATATAGAAATTTAATTCATAAAAATTTGGTCCCCATCTTCTTTCTCCTACTTTACATGGATGCTTCCTTTTTTGTGGTTTACAATAAAATAATAAGGATCAAAAGGAAAAAAAAAAGAATTTTTATATCTGTTACCAAATAGGTTACAGTATAGTTTGGCAAGTTACTGTGTAATGAAAAAAATTAGAGTATAACACCCAATAAAAAATTTTATATCAATGTTCAAAGTATATGAAGTTCATTTGTTCATATTTATAAAAATATATATAGTATTTTAACCTCTATAATCAAAGTTTTAAATTCAACTATTAAACTTCTAATTAGGCCATCAAAGTAACTGATTTTTCTCCTAATTGGGCAAAATTTTACTCAAGAAACTTCAGATAATATGTGATCATCGTTGCTGTGGGTGTAAAAATGAAACCCCAAGAAGCCCCTGTGCTTGGATAGCAATGGTTACAGCCACTGATTGTATTGATTCATCATTATGTCCAGGTACATCCAAACGGTTTAGAATTTTACTGATGGGTTTGACTAGATAGTAGAAATAAGCTTTAATAAGTATTTTTCTAAAGGCAAAATGTTGCTTCTAATTATCCATATAGCTCAAGTTGAAAATGCCTACAAGTTAGCATAGACAATGTGCTTTATATTGCAAATTGTCCTGCTTGTTCACTTTCACATCCACAAAGAAAAAAAAATTGTCTTATTTTTGTCCTGAATCAGATTTAGAAATCAAGTAATGT